CTCATATACGTCTCATAACCGCAGTTCACACATATGTTTCATATGTTTGTTGTTGTTTGATTTATCATCTACGGGTTTATGTCGAATTAATTTGATGGCCTGCTCCCAGTTGGCTTGTTAGCTCAATTGGTAGAGCGCTGCACTAGTATCGCAGAGGTCAGTGGTTCGAATCCCGTACAGGCCTGAAATTTTTTTCAGGTCTGATTTTCACTATTGCTCAAATAGTGCTTTACTGCGAAGGATCGTGCACATATACGTTTCATAACCGCAGTGCACACATATGTGTCATATGTTTGTTGTTGTTTGATTTATCATCTACGGGTTTATGTCGAATTAATTTGATGGCCTGCTCCCAGTTGGCTTGTTAGCTCAATTGGTAGAGCGCTGCATTAGTATCGCAAAGGTCAGTGGTTCGAATCCCGTACAGGCCTGAAATTTTTTTTTCAGGTCTGATTTTCACTATTGCTCAAATAGTGCTTTACTGCGAAGGATCGTGCACATATACGTTTCATAACCGCAGTTCATAGATATGTTTCATATGTTTGTTGTTGTTAGAAACAATTATAGTAGAGCCTAATTTCTAAAATTCTCCATTTCTCATACCCTCAAAGGAATTTGAACCTTAAATACAACTATAGGGCGTATTTTCAGGTAGAGAAGTCTTCCAAATTGAAACAAGTGTGGCAAAACAAACTGTTTTATCAGTGTATAATTTGGATATATCAACAAAGTTGAAATGGTAAATTGGCCACTGTAACGATTACAAAAGCTGATGTTTTGAGCATTAGCCCTTCGTCGGAGCGAATAACGAAGGGCTAACGAAGGGCTAACGACAAAGGGCTAATGCTCGAAACGTGAGCTTTTGTAATTGTTATGGTGGCCAATTTACCATTTCAACTTTGTTGATATATCCAAATTATTTTGTTACCCCCACCGACGCAGCCCCAAACAGTTTCTTTAGAAACTATCGGCCTTTATTCATTTGTTTTATCAGTGAACTGACAATTTTTTCCAGAAAAAGTTCCTCTTCTAAAACCTCAGAGAAACATTCACCTCCCCGGCTTTATGACTGCATTTGGTATTAACCCTTTAACTCCCAGAGGTGATCAGTGTGTAACTTCTCCCTATAATATCCATACCTTGTCCAGCAAACAAGTAATGAGAATACTCAAACTCATCAGGTAAAGTTGTTATCTTGAAATAACACCAAATTCTCATTACTAATTTACAAGAAAATGTGTAACTGCTGGAGGGGAGAGTTGAAGGGTTAACATATATCTTATTAACCAAGCGCGAGGGCCGTACTGGGAGAATATCAGCCCGAAGTCTTGACAGTACAGACCAAGTGCAGTGAGGTCCGTACAAAAAAGACCGTGGGCCGATATTCTTCCAGTATGGTCCCGAGCAAGCTTGGTTAATAACAGGATGATTTATTATAGGACTAAAGCTCAAAGGGACACAAGTACAGTATCATTTGGGACCATTCGGGACAGTGCCCGGTCCAATACTGAGAGAATATTGACCGGCAATAGACCATTTTGATTGGTTGATTTTAGTTATTGGCCCTGACTGCCCGAGTCGTGTAATAAAATATCTTATTTGTCACAAAAACACCTTGAAAGAAAGCTTCATTGAAAGTTAAGTGGCAGTGAAGAAATTCTTGAAGTTATCTGACGTTGAATTGATTTGTTTCTTTGTTTTCCTTGTCAGATTTGTACATTTGTCAATAACCTCCTTAAAAATTCTGACTCATTGGCCTTATTATTTCCTTTGGAGAGTGAATGTCAATGCAATCTTGAGGTGAAGCAACTTTAGAGAATCTACTGCCCCTGCAATGTGTAAATTACTGAAATGGCTTCTTTTAGTAATATTTGTTTCTATCCCTTTACTGTTGTGTAGTATACACAGGTACCCTATATTTTCACCAAAATGTTAGAGTATTGGTATGAATTTGAATCAACAGCTTTTGAGATCAAATGAAGAACTAAACCTTGTCATGTGCAGAAACAATTCATTTTTTGCCATACTTATAAATGATAACTTTCAGAACATTTCTTACTGAGGTATTATGGGTGTTGCTCAACCCTGGTATCCCACCTATGTCTGAACCCTCCCATTTGTTATAAGAGGGTTATCTACAGGACTGCGTAACAATGCTCCCAATCCATTCATTTAAGTCTTCCTTTTGAACAGTGAGACCTGAAGTCATCATCTTTATTCTCATTATTACAGCTTTTTATGACTGATGTATTGATCGAGTTCCTTTTTTATTTTTAGCTTATCAAGTGCCTTGTATTGATGTTAGACAGAGAACTCAACTCACTCAGCCAAGTTCCATCTGAAGCACTAACTGACCATGCACAGAAAAGGTAAATTTGTTGGAGTTGAAACAAGAGAATGATTGAAATGAATAACTTTGAATCTAAAAAACTTCACAGACTGACATAATTGTTATGTATTTTGAGCACTTTAGAAGGTTAAAATTTTCCTCGTAAATAGCATGGTGCTAACCCTAACTGGTACGTGACTTTAACCCTGTGCTAGCATGTTGTAGATTTAGATTTTAAATTATGGTAGCAGGCCCATGAAGTTAACAGAACTTTTGAGAAACAGGAACCTGATGTAACCAGTCAGTCTACAGTTTGACCCACCATGGTCTCCTTGTAACTGTCTACAAAAGTATTCAGTTTGATTTTTATATATTTCTTTTTTTCAATTTTTTTTTCAGCCACAATCTGATGTTATTGAGGCAGGGTGTGTTTCTTCTCTCCATGTTATGTCTCAATGATCGAATGTTTGTGGAGCATCGTGCTGAAGTAGAACATCAATATGTTAATGTTGTGAGCTGTGTTACCAGACTTTACAAGCAGATTGTTGGTGTGATTTCAGAAGCAGAAGGTAATGAAAACCCAATCTGCAAAGTGACTGAGATATTTAGTAAATTGTATGTTATACCAAAACATTGTCAATTAGTTGGAATGTTTTTTCAATACTTTTCACCTTGCTGTTTAGTAATACTGATCACAATATAGCTAATCAGGGGGAACTTGGCTATGATTTTTAAGGTAAACAAAGCCTCAGCTGTGATTCTTAGCAAATTAAGAATTAGCCAAGAATTATTCTTAACCTAAATAGAGCTTTTATCAAGAGCTTTTAATTAATTTCATGAAAATTCTACTAGGGTAGTGGTTGCAATTTAGCAATTATTTAAATCCAGCTAACAATCTAAATCAATAGATCTGAGTCTGGTCATGCAGCCAGTTCTGATTAAAGCTGGGCAGTTGCTAAGTCCTCCGAGAAAACTTGATCTCTGAAGTAAAATGAACCAACCCCCCTACTTATAATTTGTTCAGTATTACAGAGTTGGATTCCAGTTTTTTCCCCCAGAATGGAACTATAGGCCTTTGAAGTCTGGTGATTTTAGGCAACAGATTGTACTCTCACTACATGTTCACACCCTCTTACTTTATATCATATTCTGGTAAAATGCTCAGCAGGAAGAGCAACAGAGTAGGAGAAGTCAAAATCATTATTTTCTAATTGACTTTATAATATAGCTAGCAAAGCCGCGCTATCAAATTCAGTATACATAAACGTGCTCAAAATCCCGATAGTGCATGCTGATAATGTGAGCAAATCGCTTTGCTGGAAAAATATTTTTTTTTGCACAAGCGGCTATTGTTAGCGCAGGCAAAAATAATATATTTCATGACAATAATGGATACAAACAGAGACTTGGCCCACCAGTCCCAAAACGAAGACAGTTTTCCAACCGTTTCCCTTGGGCTAGAGTTCTTAAATGAGGCAGAAAAATAGAAAAACAACGGAAAGGAGACTCGGCATCTGAGTGCCATCACAATTCGCTTTTGATATTGTTCGTTTTTCGTGTGGGGTTTGATGCACAATTCCACTGGCTATGTTATAAAACAATTATTTCATGCTTTTAGCTATGCACTATCGAGTTATGGAGCATGTGGGAAGTTTGAAGAGCTCTCAAGAAGCTAGAGTTGCCCTCGGCTATTGCCTCGGGCAACCCTTATGCTTCTTTTGTGCTCTCCAAACTTCCCATGTGTTCCATAACTCGATAGTGCACGCTAAAGCACGAACCAGTTGTTAATTGTTCTACAGAAGACTAAATTTAACACAGACGACCAGACGGTATCGCTGTGGTATCAGTCTTGACGGTATCGCTGTGGTATCAGTCTTGACTTTTCTGATGTTGATATTTATTTTCCTTGATTAGTATTTGCTGTCCAAGAGTTGGTTGATTTTGAACACATTTATGGGATTGAGTGGTCACAGGAATCTGATGATGAAGATGAGACTGTTGAAGGAATGGAAGTTGCTGAATGAAATTCAGTAAACTCTTGGATTTCAATAACTGAAAACTCTAAATCACTGTTCAGGTCTTCGTAAATTCTTAAAGTGATCCTTTTTGTCAACATTGCCAGAGAGAAAAGCTCTTGGACAGAAAGAGATAAAGCTGGATGGAGGATAGAGCAGCATAAGTGCTTACTCACTGAAATGTGTCACAAGGTTTTCTTCTGCAAATGTAATGAAGCTTTGAATTTTTTATGTAAAGGTAAACTATGATTCATCTGATATCTGATCTATATGTTCAGATAACTGACCAAGGTTAAGAAGTTCAGGTTCCTTTTTAGTGAAATTGGGTTTCCTTAGGTTAGGTGTAGGAAAGAAGAATTATACAACAAAATAATTATTCAAAATGTTCTGTTTGTAAATAGTATATTTTTTATGCAAAAGTTATGTCAACTGTTGATCATAACAAAGTCTTTTTTGAAACCCTTACCTGTCTAGATGAGTTGGTGAAATCACTAGACACCTGCAACACCATTAAAAGCTCAGTTAAAAAGTTGAATTGCTTGAAACATGTGACTGTGCAGCACCCTTAATTGTAGCAATCAACCCCTCCCTGACTGATCAGAGAGGAAATATTTTTAATTTTTGTTTCAGGCTTTACTTTCTATGAAGTTGCTTTG